GTAATCAGTTTAAATGCATTTGGTATTAGTGTTCATTGCATAGTTTCATATAGCATTATCAATAATGAGTTATGAAACATACCTTTTCTTCACACTCAATTGCACTGGTCGTAGATATTCTTGAGCCTTTCTCACAGTTTCAATTGTTAGAATTTTTTGTTGAGCTCATAAATGAGCTTCTGAGCATGGAGTAAATGCATTGGGAGTTATATATCCACTCACTTTACAATATTGGTAAGTTACCTTTCTGGAATATTTTATAATATTTGTTGTACATCTTCATTTAATTCCAGCAGACCTACATTCCATCCTACAATTAATACACTGTGTTGTATTAATATTTTTGAGTAGTGATACTCAAGTGCTTTACAATAATGACTTACCAACTCAATCTTTACATTGAGATTATGTAGTACATTGCATTTATTGTTTGTGAGGCTCAAGAAATGTTTGTGTGGCTCCAGCTCAGAACTATCATGAGCTTCTGAGCATGGAGTAAATGCATTGGAAGTTACATATTCACTCACTTTACAATATTGGTAAGTTACCTTTCTGGAATATTTTATAATATTTGTTGTACATCTTCATTTAATTCCAGCAGACCTACATTCCATCCTAGAATTAATACACTGTATTGTATTAATATTTTTGAGTAGTGATACTCAAGTGCTTTACAATAATGACTGCCCCTTGACTGTTTCGAACCCTACTAACCATTGTACTTAATGAACGGTTTTGTTCATATGTCATGATTACCTTTAAGCACAGCCCCAAATTTTAAAAATGTGCAGATTTAATTATTTTGTTATCTATGAATATTTTCTAATAGTTTTTTGGTGTTCGCGTTTAATTTTTTTTTTCAAAATTTATTTTGAAATTTTTAGGGATACACTTCCAAAAATAATTGTTACGTATTTGAAATTATTTTATTTTTTTAATATATTTTGTACTTTATTTATTTAGTAAAAATAATGTGTTTTTAAAATACAGTTTTAAATTTGTGCTCTCTTGAGCCACACAATCTCCAACATTGGAAGTTGTTGCCTGCATTAATTGCCCGCAGCTTTCAAGTACACAGCTATCTTGGGTGGTTTTGATCTTGATTCTGCTAAATACTCTATAAAATTTTACATCAAATAAATTAAAACCAACTTGTTGTATGAATATTTTATAATAATTTTTTGATATTCGCGTTATAATTTATTTTTCTAAAATTTATTTTCAATTTTTTTGAATACTTTTCCAAAAATAATTTCCGATTATTTGAAAACAATTTAATGTTTTTTATATATTTTATCCCTTATTTTTAAGTAAAAATATATAACCTAGCTCCCAAGAAATAATGTGTTTTTAAAGTACAAAGTTTTAAATCTATTATACTACTCATTAATGCTCTCATGAGCCACACAATCTCCAACATTGGAAGTTGGTACCTTTATTAGTACACAGGGAACTTGGGCAGGTTTGGATCTTGATTCTGCTAAATACTCTTTATAAACTTTTACAATAAATATCTTTTATTATTCTGCTAAATCCATTTGCACTTCGTGCATAAATATATTTTTATTACTTTTCAGTAATACTTTGGATATGTATTGATTCAATTTAATTTAATTTATTTATTTCAAGGGTAAGGCCTTTTTAAAACTCACGTATTTGAAACCCAAAATACCTGGGATACATATATGGCCGAAATAGACATGCCCAAAATGCTAAGTGGAATCATGTACTCATATATTTTTATCCATACTAAATATATCTTTCCATACCATTCAGAAACAAACATCCCTTTCACATGTTGGTTAAATTTCTATTATATTCAAGCTTTTGACATCTTTTCAAATATTTACTTGTTACTTGACATCATTCCATACTAAATATATTTACTTAGACATGGTTCTATTTTTGAAGAATTTCAAAATACAAACACTTCAATGACATTTTGGGCAGATATTATTACCACATTTTTATTCCCAAAAAATGGACTTAATTTCAGATTTCTATTTTCCAATTTTGTCAAAGATACCACAACTCCCAAGTGTATTGATTTATAATAATAACTCTTAGCAATGGCTAACCAAGTTTTTATTTTTGAATAACAATTTCGAATAAGCTTTAATACATAAAATTTACTTCATGTTTGATATTGCAACATTATGTACTAAAATATTCCAAAATTTTACTTTCTAAAAGACATTTTTTTAAACTTATTTGTACTTTTATCCAAGAGTGTGTTCATAGTAATAATAACTCTTTTAATACGTTTTGACAGGTGTAATTTTCTGGTTGAACAGGTTTAAAAACGCTATCTAGAAAATTGTAATAGGAATAGTTCTGGGACCTTAGAAGGTTGCCATTTATGTAAAATTTAAAAGGTTTGTAATATTATTTAGTAAATAGGGATTGCAGGTAACCCTCCATTCTGCAAAAGACTAAGGTATGAACTTCTTTACCTCACTTGGTTATTTAAAATTATGCAAGTTGTTGAATCAAATTGCCAATTGTCAAATTGCAACCAAAGAATATTGCATAGATTTTTAAATGTAATACACTTGTATTAGAATTTCCAATCCAAATGTTACACTTTTGAAATCATAAGAGTACACATTGACTTGTTTACGTAATGTCTCTTAGAGTTTACACATTTACATGTTTCATAGTAAATCTAGCAGTTAAGCCATTATTCACACCATCCCATGCCTCGTCTAGCAGTTAAGCCATTATTCACACCATCCCATGCTCTCGTCTAGCAGTTAAGCCATTCTTCACACCATTGGTAGCATTTTTCTTAACCCAAAACTTTTTCATCATCCTGGAAACCATTAGTAAAGCGTTAGTTTGAAAACAAAGGTCTGTTTATAAAATACAAAGATATTAGGAGCATAAACTTCACCAAATGGTTTAGGAATATCCCTTCTCTGAAATCCTGCAAAAATGCCCAATATAGATACGAAACATCCTAAACATAATAGCACACCACACAATCGTTTATTCACACCATCCCATGCTCTCGTCTAGCAGTTAAGCCATTCTTCACACCATTGGTAGCATTTTTCTTAACCCAAAACTTTTTCATCATCCTGGAAACCATTAGCAAAGCGTTAGTGTGAAAACAAAGGTCTGTTTATAAAATACAAAGATATTAGGAGCATAAACTTCCCTAAATGGTTTAGGAATATCCCTTCTCTGGAATCCTGCAAAACTGCCCAATATAGATACAAAACATCCTGAACATAGTCAAAACATAATAGCACACCACACAATAGTCATAAAGTAGTGTTTAATGGTCTGTTACACAGTTTTCAGTTATCCCAAAAAGAGAAGGCATACGTCTTGTGCATGAAACTGTTTTCAAATAACAATAAACACCATAGTAGGTGCCAACAAAATATCATCAATGTTATTCATGAACTGAACCCGCTCTAGAGCGGTTCCTGTTTGATTTTGATCTTCAGCTTCTTGCCATTCCCAGTGCTTGAAAATTCATCATTCAAGTTTCTTTTGACCTCTTCATTTAATTCAACATTGACCTCCCTTTGGGTACATTCCGTAGGTGTGTCGGGAAGCTCAATTGGTGCAGAAACCTAGCAGTAATATAGCTGTTTAGTGAACCGTCTACAGAATTTTGAACGAAAATATTATATACCTCTTAACAGTCGATCGCTTACCTCCTTTTCTGCCGAAATTCGTTTCCCCTTGCCCTTACTGACAGTTGATTTTTCTCTGATGGAGGTTTCTCCTAAATTTGCATTTGAACCAATCTGCAAAAAAATGATTTTAAGTTAGTTGTCATCTTTATTTATTCAAGGCCCAAATACACAAATTAATAATTTTTCTAAATACCTTCTCTGGTGTACTCTCATCAATTTCATTAGTTTCCAAGTGCTCTTTCTTCTCATACATTGAGATAACATTAGGATCTCTTATGATGCTAACTACCCCTAGAGAAATCCCATAGGTAGCACCATTCTCGATAGTTTTCTATAGAAACTATCTCAGCAAGTACCCAATAAACATTCTCCTATCCAAGTATAATTTTCTTATTAGCAGTGGATATATTTATTCAAAATGCGAAATCTATGACTCTAGCTTCAGGACACACCTCAGTTGCCTTCATTAAATCCTCCATGGTGGTAATGACAGCATTTCCACCGAGTATATCATCCCTCCCTTCCGCATGTGAGCATTGCGTGTTGCAGGTTTGAGTCGTGGTGTCATCACCATCTGCTGGAAACCTAAATATTGCATGGTAAACAGACTTTAGTTCTAGGATACTTGAGTTTTAGGAGATTTTTTTATGAAATTGGGTAGTCAGAGTTTAGTTTTGGGAGATTTAATACGCATACTCGCTTTGGAACTCTAAAAACTCAGTAGTGTTCCCGTTGATTATGAGCTTTGATACATCAAAAGACGAATTCACTGTCAAGATCCCTGTGTTTAAAACAGCACTACCATAAGCTTTGGCTACTGTGTACTACATAATGAATGCTGCTAAGTTTCTCAAACCTTGGTATCTTTTTGGCCTACATAGTTGAAATATCACGAAGACAGGCACTCCTTCATTAGCATTAACATAATCCAGATACTGGTTTATGTACTTGTTCCACAATACGGCGCCCAATCTGTTACCCCTGTAGTTTAGAAAAGTTTCAGTCAATGAGCATGTGTCTTTTGTTTTGCTAAAATCGTTTAAGTTGTAAAACTTACTCCGGGTCTGTCAAAGTCAACTCCATTAGCCTATCAGTCCTCCCGTTGATTATGTGGGTCTGGATAAGGCTCTTGGACAGAACCTTCCCAATGACATCTTCATAATTAAACAATAGAAACTGTAATTAGGATATTTGTGCAAGCAATGTAGTATGGAAAAATTTGACTCTAACTCACCAATTAGAGTTTTGTCGTTGATAACTCTTTGGGCATGCAGCATATCAAAAGGCTGAAAATCATAGACCATCATAGGAATTTCCGTCTTCGTATCTTCCCTCAACAGGGTTTTTGAGATGAACTGAATTATGTAGGGATGACTTGTAGTCTTCACTGTTTGGTAATTGTCAAGCACCAAAAAGTTTCTTATGGCATAAATTTTGTTCTCTGTAATATTAGGCTTATACATTGCTATCTGCGGCCTCTTGATAATGGCGTGAATCCGATCTCCCTAGTAAGAATTTACATTGGATTAAGAAAAGTTGAGCAAAAGACGCCATAGAAGTTAGATGTTACAAACCATACCTCTGCGTCATGCAAAACCATTTCAAGAGTCTCCCCGCCCTTAGAGTGTGGAGGAACTTCGTATGCCCTAACTACCCGAACCTTGATTGCCCAGGTCGTCTTTGTGTGATCGATATCCTTGAGCAAGGACCACATCCCTTGTGCTGATGAAGCGGTTGCCATTGCACTGGTTTTGAACTTTTGAACTTAAAAATAGAGCTGCTGAATACTGGTTTGTGGTATGTTGTGGTCATCCCCTGCTTGGGTATTTATATTGGATAAAGGAGAGAATAACCTAGGTTGAAAATACCACACAATCTCAATATTAAGATTTGTAGTACAATGCATTAATTATAAGGTGAATCAATTGGGTTAACCAAGGGTTAAAAATACCCACTCAATCTTTACATTGAGATTATGTAGTACATTGCATTTATTGTTTGTGAGGCTCAAGAAATGTTTGTGTGGCTCCAATTCAGAACTATCAAGTACAAATACTCACTCAATTTTTACATTGAGATTATGTAGTACATTGCATTTATTGTTGTGAGGCTCAAGAAATGTTTGTGTGGCTCCATTTATTGTTCAGAACTATCAAGTACAATGTATTTAATTTTTTTGAGCTTCAAGGCTGCAATCAGATTTTAATTGTGATTCATTAGTTAAAAAGGACAACTTAAAATATTTTGTAAGTTCTAAAAGCAGACTGCATTTTTTCGAACAGTGCATTGACATGACCTCAGTCAACTACCAAGCACAATGCATTAAATGATCAGCCTTCAGCCCAACAACTGAAATATTGGGTTCTGTGCCATCATTTAATCCTGCCCAGGACCCGTTTCTGCACCCATAATGACCCGACCCGATCCAATAGTGCACTGCATTTGGGCGGGAACACTGTTCATTTTTTCTTTTGGCTTTGTATAATAAAAGATATTTATAGTATTTGATCGATATTTAGACCACTATATATAAAAATCACTTGTCAAGTGTTATTTTATCAGTAGCTAAAATACACTTGTACATCTTTTTTTTATCCCAAAAAATTTATCTTGTAACCCAGTTACTATAATAAGGGTAGAAGTAAACTTTTAGGATCGGAAAGCGTATTTATACGTGATTAGAAGTGATATCCGGTTCAGTCATATTTATACACCCTTGTATTATACTACCTCCGTTCCGAAATAATTGTCCTGGTTTGACCTTCACACAGATTAAGAAAGTGAAGTTGACTTCACACTGTAGCGACACTGTTTGACACTGTAGCGATACTGTTTGGCATTGTTTTGCACTGTTTGACACTGTTTTGTATAGATTTGTTTACCAAATAAGGAAATGAGACAATTATTTCGGGACGGATAAAAAAGGAAAACAGGACAATTATTTCGGGACGGATGGAGTACTATTAAATACCCGGGATCTAACACTTAGAAAGATGGTCAACTAAAAAGGAACATAGTGAGCATACTTTAGAATTCTTATCACAAGATAGAAAAGTTGTGATTGATTTACATAACTTAATTATAAGGTGTTTTAATAAAGGCACGATTAATTAGGAACGGAGGAGTAATTGGTAAACGTTAATAACATTGTTGGTTGCTGTAATAAACATAAGCAATAAGCTAGCTGCGCTCACATTTTCATGATGTTCATAGATTCAAAACAGAAGAATTATTGTTTCTGAATAATGAATCTGACGATGTCTGCCGCACCATAGTAGTTGAAGGACCAAGCAAGGTCATAGAGAGTAGATTCATATTCAGATATTGCCGCGCGTTCCTACAAACGGCGAGGCAGGGACGATCAGGATGACACGGTCATAATCCTAATCCTCGTTAGGACTGTGCATCAGATCAATATCCGACCGGACCACACTCTTATTTTTCGAGAGCAAAGATTGGACCAAAGTGGAGAGTAATAAATGCTAGTTATTTCTATTCTCAAGACAATACGAAAAATAGTTTATATCATAATTATTTTATTTAGATGATTGTTGTTACTATTTTTCTTATTTTATAATTATTTTATATTGAAGAATTAATATATTAATATATTTTAAAATACGGAGTATAACAAATCCTGTTTAATCTGGTTCAAACGGAATAATCCGGTTTTAGCCGAATCTGAACCAGATGGTAATTTTTCATAATCGAAAACCAGACCGGATAGCATTCCCGTTTGGTCCAATTCTGGTTTTCCAGGCCGGTCTGGTTTGATTTTCCAGTTTGAACCGGTTTGCGCACACCCCTAATCCTCGTACAGGATAGGACGAGTAAAAACCGCATTGATGGCCCATTATTTTGGGTTTGAATTAGAAGTAGCCCAATCCATTTGTGAACTAGTTGATTATTGTCTACTTGCAATTTATAAAAAATGCTACTTGTACACGTCGATTTACACGTTTATTGTATTTTGTCTGTAGAGAGACAATTCATTTTCATTTTAGTAAAGGGAACTGTCTGTGAGCTCGAAAAGTGAATTGTCTATACAAAAAAAATTGAATTCACAGACAGTTCCATTCATTAAAATAAAAATCAAATGTTCATACACAAACGAAACACACTCGGCATGTAAGCGGGCGTGTAAATCGATATGTACAAGTAGCCTTTTTGCAATTTGCATAGGCTGTTCTTTTGGAATACGTATGTTGCAAGATTGGGGATAGACAGGGCCGTTAGCTTCATAGCCGTTGGAAGTAGAGCCGTTGGATATGGGTAAGGAAGGGCTTATTTTTTCTTTTTTCCCATAGGCATATCATTACATCTTCATATTTCCTCGTTACAAGTCTACAACTACATCTCTCGTTTTCTTAAATACTAAATTCCATTTTGTTTACATTACTTTTACATTCTTATAATTATTGATGGACTCGGGCCGGGTCAGGCCCGGGCCGGGCCTAGGCCCGGTCGGGCCGCCGGGTTGTATGACATGGGCCCGGGACCGGCCCGAGGGTTGGACGGGTCCGGTTCGGGCCGGGCCACCCGCCCGGGTCACGGGTCGGGTCCGGTTCGGGCCGGGCCGGTTAATTTTTTTTATATAATTTATATTTTAAAGTTTATAGTTTTATACGAGTATTAAAAACAAACTTCAATTGCATTTATTTGAAATGAAATAGGAACTACATTTGAAAATTAAAACAAACTTTAAGAGATAAACATTTTGAAAATTGTAATCAATCGGAACTTCCCGCACCTCCCGATCCTTTGGCTTTGTCACATGACTTCATATGCTTGATTGCCATCCCGAATCCACCTGAAACCCCCATGCTACATTTTTTCTCGCACCATTTGCAAATTGCGTACCACATCCCGGTCTTCGGGTCCTTCTGCTTATCAAAATTATACCGTATAATGGCATCTTGATTTTCCATCTTAACTTCTTAAGTATAAACTATAAAGTAGATATATAAATAATAAATATAATATAATGGAGAATAAGAGAATTAGAGAGTAGAGAGTTAAGAATAGGATTTAGGAAGAATTGGAGAAGAGATATGAAAAAATGTTTAAGATTAGGAGTATTTATAGGTTTTTTCACCCCCCACCACCACTCCCCCACCACAAGGGATGGATTCGGTTCGGGCCACCCGACCCGTGACCCGGCCCGGCCCGGTACTGTGCGGGCCCGGGACCGGCCCGGTCGGGCGGTCCGGGACCGGGTATGGACCCGAACCGATGGGAAGGGGCGGGGCAGGCTCGGTTCTGCATTATTGTGACCCGGCCCGCCCGGGTCGGGCCCGGGTCCGGGTCTATTTTTTTAAAAAAAAAAATTGGTTTGGGCTCCTACTAGCCGTTGGGGGTGGGGCTGGGGACAACCCAAACGGCTATATAGCCGTTGGGTGGGGTAAAGGCGGGGTCCGGGGGTTGGCTGGTGGGGGGTGGTGGGGGGTAAAAAAATCTATAAATACTCCTAATCTTAAACATTTTTTCATATCTCTTCTCCAATTCTTCCTAAATCCTATTCTTAACTCTCTACTCTCTAATTCTCTTATTCTCCATTCTCCGATATATTATATTTATTATTTATAGTTTATATTAATTATCTACTTATATAAACTATAAATAGATATAAATAGTATTATATTACTTATATTTGTTATCTAATTATATATTACTTATATATTTATTATATCTATTAATATAGTTGGAATTATATCTAATTAATTTGAAGTCATTCTATTACTCCCATCCGAAAGACCGAAAGTCCGAAAGAGGTACGAAATTATTCTATTATTTACACTTGTTTAATTACTAGTTAATTTGCTACATTTGACTCTTGTTTAATAGTTAGATAAATAGTTAATTAGTTTTTTACAATTTTTTATTAATTGCTACATTTGACTCTAGTTTAAAAAATATGTTGTACACAAAACTAGTTAATTCACTACTTAATTTGCTATAACTCGAATTAATAGTTAGATAAATAGTTAATTAGTTTTTTACAATTTTTTATTAATGGCTACATTTGACTCTAGTTTAAAAAATATGTTGTACACAAAACTAGTTAATTCACTACTTAATTTGCTATAACTCGAATTAATAGTTAGATAAATAGTTAATTAGTTTTTTACAATTTTTTATTAATGGCTACATTTGACTCTAGTTTAAAAAATATGTTGTACACAAAACTAGTTAATTCACTACTTAATTTGCTTTAACTCGAATTAATAGTTAGATAAATAGTTAATTAGTTTTTTACAATTTTTTATTAATGGCTACATTTGACTCTAGTTTAAAAAATATGTTGTACACAAAACTAGTTAATTCACTACTTAATTTGCTATAACTCGAATTAATAGTTAGATAAATAGTTAATTAGTTTTTTACAATTTTTTATTAATGGCTACATTTGACTCTAGTATAAAAAATATGTTGTACACAAAACTAGTTAATTCACTACTTAATTTGCTATAACTCGAATTAATAATTAGATAAATAGTTAATTAGTTTTTTACAATTTTTTATTAATGGCTACATTTGACTCTAGTTTAAAAAATATGTTGTACACAAAACTAGTTAATTCACTACTTAATTTGCTATAACTCGAATTAATAGTTAGATAAATAGTTAATTAGTTTTTTACAATTTTTTATTAATGGCTACATTTGACTCTAGTTTAAAAAATATGTTGTACACAAAACTAGTTAATTCACTACTTAATTTGCTATAACTCGAATTAATAGTTAGATAAATAGTTAATTAGTTTTTTACAATTTTTTATTAATGGCTACATTTGACTAGTTTAAAAAATATGTTGTACACAAAACTAGTTAATTCACTACTTAATTTGCTATAACTCGAATTAATAGTTAGATAAATAGTTAATTAGTTTTTTACAATTTTTTATTAATGGCTACATTTGACTCTAGTTTAAAAAATATGTTGTACACAAAACTAGTTAATTCACTACTTAATTTGCTATAACTCGAATTAATAGTTAGATAAATAGTTAATTAGTTTTTTACAATTTTTTATTAATGGCTACATTTGACTCTAGTTTAAAAAATATGTTGTACACAAAACTAGTTAATTCACTACTTAATTTGCTATAACTCGAATTAATAGTTAGATAAATAGTTAATTAGTTTTTTACAATTTTTTATTAATGGCTACAATAAATATAATATATTGGAGAATGGAGAATAAGAGAATTAGAGAGTAGAGAGTTAAGAATAGGATTTAGGAAGAATTGGAGAAGAGATATGAAAAAATGTTTAAGATTAGGAGTATTTATAGGTTTTTTTACCCCCCACCCCCCACCACCACTCCCCCACCAGCCACCACCCAACCCCCCCGGACCCCCCCCCCCCCCCTTTACCCCACCCAACGGCTATATAGCCGTTTGGGTTGTCCCCAGCCCCACCCCCAACGGCTAGTAGCCCAAGAACCATTTTTTTTTTAATCTTAAGACCGGACCCGGGCCCGACCTGGCCGGGCCGGGTCACATTAATCCAGCACCGAGCCCACCCCGCCCATTCCCACCGGTTCGGGTCCATACCCGATCCCGGACCGCCCGACCGGGCCGGTCCCGGGCCCGCACAGTACCGGGCCGGGCCGGGTCACGGGCCGGGTGGCCCGAACCGAATCCACCCCTACTTATAATACTTCGTAATACTTTACACTCGTACCATCTCTTTGAGCCTTTTTATGTCATTGAAATTCCAAGTTCAAGGTGACAATTATTATGGAAACAACCTTTTTTAAATTTTAAATGATACACCCTAATTTCGGAAAAATATATGAAGTTAATTATGTTGTATTATTAGAATGACATCTAATTGTACATATCAATCAGTGTTTCTTACCCATTTGAATACTGTCGTTGAAAAGGTAAATTGAAGCGATACATTGTAAAAAGTGATGTCTACTTCGATTCTAGAAATATTAATTTGAAAACCCATGCTTTCTCTAGTTTCGTGTTTTTAAAATACACATAAATTTGAACCAATTTTTCCGAGCCAAGTTCCGTTTGGATTGAGATCCTCTGCCGAGTACCTTACATAGGGATGGACCCAACCGGTTCGAACTAGCCCGGGAACCGGACCGGCCCGCTCTTGTGCGGATCCGGATGACCGGTTCCGGGCTTTAGCCTGGTTTGGGCGGGTATGGCGGGCCGGACTCGGGCCTTGATTTTCATAAACCGGTCCGGGTTGGGTCCGATTCATTTTTTTTCATTTTTTTTTCTTTTCCTTAGATAGGGCTAGGTGTTTGGGGGGTGTGGGTGGGGGTGGGGTGGGGATGAGGGAGGGGGGTCGGCGGTTAATTACAAAGCCAAAAAAATTACCTTGAACCGAGCCCAGACCTGGTATCAACCCGAGCCGGTTCCATGCCAACATCCTGGGAAAAAAGCCCGGCTTGAACCGGCCCAGCCCGGAGCCGATCCATGCCTAACCTTACCAAAATATACATGGATTAAAATAGAGGCCTCAAGATTTGTGCCCAAAATGGACCCACTCATCTTATGCCATTGATTTTTTGATCTGATGGTTCAAAATTGTATTGCAGTTTGGCACCCTCCTTGTCTGGCTAAGTAAGGCAGAGGAACTGGACCCAGTTCTGTTTCTCCATGCCCATACACGAAATTCACCACATAAAATTTGCTCAGTTACACAAACTTTTTACAGAAGTTTTAATTCACCTTTTCCGCTTATTCTATGGCCTCAGACAAATTAGTTCACCAGATTTATGAACTCACCGGTTTTTGGGAAACATGTTTAGAAACGACTACTTGATTCTCACAATTCACACACAGATAACCAAATTGATTAGTTTGATTTTTGCAAGAATTATGAACAAAAAACTCCATATATATACTAGTGTGTGTGTGTGTGTGTGTGTATATATATATATATATATATAGTACATACTCCCTACCTAGAATGGTCATCAACCACCCCAATGCTGCGAGTGCTATGGCATTAACAATAACAAAAAGAAAATAAGATTTCAATGTTGTTTACATCATATCCAAGATGAATATGTTAGGCTGTTTGAAGGTTGAAAATAACAAAACTTTTCATCAAGTAATATAAATGTATATATCCTATGAATCCAGTGGATGGAGATATTACCTAATTTTATAGGGCTCTGAAGTAGTACGAAACACTAAATCATTGAATATTCCCGAAGCACGTCAACCAGTAGAACCGATTGCTGGTGGCTTTCACAGGTCTTCCAGATGCGAAAGTTAGGGTGAAAGTATGAAGACTTGTACCAACGAGATAACGAGACTAGCGGAAAGGGACCCTGAACTACTCCTTGTGGATCCAAATAATTCCATATCTCATCATTAGGGTGTAGGCGTGTAACAACTGGCAGCAGCCCATTACACTCTGGAGCAACACCATCTTCATCATCGCTCAATTCAATGACTGCAGGTTCCCTTATGGGGTCTAAGTAACCATCAGACATGAATCCGGTACAGCTCATTAGAATTGAGTACCATGGCATAGAAATTCAGTGTATATCAATTCAAGGTAAAAACATAAAAATGTAGCGTTAGTCTAGATGCTAGAACTTTTTCTTAAAATAAATCACACTGAGGTTTTAATACTAAATAAAACATTTGAAATAAGGAAAATAACATACTTTGTCGCTGTTTTTTTGTAACTGAAGACTCAGTCTTACTTGTAAAGTTGGTGGTCTACACAACTGCCCACATTTGTGACAAAACTCAAGGACGTCAACCACCAACGTTATTAGTGGAGGACTAAGTGTCTCATTGCCTATAGTTCAGGGTTGTTGAGACTGGTGGAATAGGCTTTGTACACCTTTGGTGGGCCCGGAAACAAATACTATGATAGAAACAGAAAACCCTAGCAGACGATATTAACGTCTGCCCCAGCCTTAGGCTCAAACCAAATCTTTATTCTCTATAATGAATAATAGTTCACAAGATCAGACCTGCTTAAATACTACTTAACCTAATAATAAAATATGGTCATCTAGGCCCAGTAACCTAATAATAAAATATGGCCATCTAGGCCCAGCGGTTTATTAGAAATAACAATTGAATGAAAGTAATAAAACTCAGCAGTCAACCCAGCCCAATTAGGTCCACTGACAGCGACACTAAACTAATAACGGGCGAGGCCCGTCCTCCTGAAGCATCAGCCCAGTTGCCTCCTCCTAGAGCCTCGGCCCATCTGCCTCCCACTCCATAACATACTACCTCCGTCCCACTAACATTGGGACATGAGAGGGTGGCACGATTATTAAGAAAAGTGAGTTTATGTGGTTATATTGAATTGATAAAGAATAAAGTAAAAATGATTTAGGATGTTTTTACTTGGACTGCAATTTTCTAATCTGGTTTGGTCTGAATTGGTCTGGTAAATGTTTGGTCCTGTGTATTTTATAACTATCCAAATCTGGTCTGGTCTGGGACTAAAAACAATCCAAGTAAAAACATCCTTAGAGCCACACAAACTTTACCAAATTTGGTATGGGACAATCTTAATGGGGTTTCCTGAAAAGGAAAAATGGGTCAATCTTAAGGGGACAAAGGGAGTATGTAACAACTATGATAGTTACTATGATATTGTACAGTGGAAGAAACATGTGATTGTAAACATGTTCATTGGGGGTAGATTATAATATTGCATTTACAATCTTGGAATTCTATCTTGAATACAATTGCTTCCTAAATCGGTTTATTCTCTTATTATATCTAAAAATGTGTTGAAAGGATATTCCCTCAAGGCATCCCTTATACTCGTGTCAACTTACTCTTCAAGCATATCAGGACTCATCAAAATCAGAAAGATCTTGGAACTAATACAAAAAAATGCAGACGTTCAAGTTCAAGGAACCTACCCTTTTTGTTTGCACAAAAAGGGATTCAAATCACTATCTCAGTCGGAAGCTGTCCTAAACACCAAATAATTAAGGACGGAAGAATCTACAATACCCCCACGAAATACAGATTAATTTGAAGACCACGGGATAGGTGTTCTGTTTTTTGTCTTTCTTTCTTTTGTTGTTGTTAATGTCATCATCGTCATTTTGTTGAAGTTGTTGTTGCATGTGAGAAAGAGAACATGGTATTCTGTTCTTACACAGTTACACCCATAACGTAATACTAGTATTGATTAACCTATTTTAGCTCGGCATAAATTTTTTAACAAATTTTTTTGCATCACTTTTTTTGGCTTGAGAATAGGATGAATAAAGCAAAACGGCTCATTAAACTGTTTGCGCTTCTTGTTATAAAACAATTGTCAGTCCATGCAATATTCGACACGATTTTCATCATGGGTCATCCAGAAAGTCTTTGTGCTTTAGTACATGGGGTAAGGCTGCGTACATCCGACCCCCTTATCTCACCATAGGTGGGAGCCTTTGCGGCACTGGGGTAATGTTATTATTGTTGTAAGATCCTTGGCATGTAAATCTCACTAGTACATGACGAGCATGTTATAAGAAATTCAAAGGATGGATTTATGTAAATACCAGGAGCAGATAGATCAGAAGCCTCCCTGAGATTTGATCCCATGAAGCACCTAGCTCCTCCTGCTTCTGGATCATCAAATGACATTATCTGCTTTTCAGGTTCCTCCGCATTTGTTTCTACATTCTCACTAGAAAGTCTAGTCTGCTCAGGTTTAGGAGAGCAACTTTTTTCTTCAGTTTTTTCTGAAGCACCTGGTGGTGTAGCTTTGGGTTCTAATTCTTCAGCTAATATTTTCGGCTTCTCTGACAATAATCTGTCTTGCTCAGTTTTAGTCATGAGTAGCTGTCTTTTCTGCAAGTACTCGTGCAATGTGATTTCTAAAGCAGTTAAAGAAAAAGGCATGATGGTTGAACTGACACCTTATAGGGTGAGGTGAATTCTAGTGTTCCACAAGTTTTCTTCATTCTTAGGGTGTAACTGACACCTTAGAACAAACAATAATGGGGACTTTTTTAATAAATTATTAAAGCGAATTCCTTTCCAGAAGCACCAAATAATAGATCAGCCCACCATATGAAGCTCGTGAAGAATAATGGTGGCACCATGTGAAGGAATTTTGGCCATCCTCCATTTGGCCTGAACTAATTAAAATAAAGAGATTCTTGAGTTGGTCAATAGTGATATGAAAGTCTTCGGTTTACTATGTAAATGTCTAGCAAGTAGCAAGTAGCAAGTCAGATTCATCACCGTTATCAGCACGTTTATCATAACTAGACAACTAGTTGAGGTTGGTGGGATTAAATTTATAGTTCCAGATCAAATTAGCTTCTGTAAATAAACTAACGGCTATTAGCCCTAAATGGGACTAAAAGTAGCCTTAAATTCCACAATAGGACTATAATCCTTTTATTCCCAAAATACAAGTAATATATGTCTCTTCTTCCTATTCTACCCCCTTCCTATAATTTCTAATAGATTTACTTATTAATAAAAAAAATCATAGTTTTACTTATAAAAAAACATAAAAATCGTAAAATAATTAAAAATTAATATGGGGTACTAAATTCGGGAAAAAGTAAAATAAAATAAAATAATTAAACAAAACATAAATAAAAAATAAAATAATACATAATATTTAAAAATTTAAAAAATAATACCTAAAAAATATTTAAAATATGTAGGCCACTACCTCCGCATTCTCCACCTCCCAGCACCACTAGCTCTGATCGCCAGAAAAAATGTCATCTTGTGTAAAAAATGTCATATTCCTCTCGAAAATGCCATGAAGATGACATTTTCACTCTTAGAAAATATCCAACTTTCTTTTCAAAATTGCCATCACTGTGGCATTTATTTTCAAATTGGCACATTCTTTTCCGGAGACTAGAGACGGGGTGCTGGAAGGTGGCTGAGGTGGTGCTTGAGGCATGTACATTTTTTATTTATTTTTTACATTTTTTATTTTAATTATTTATGTTGGGTAGGTTGTTTTGGTGGGAAATCTCCCATAAAATAATGCCACCAGCTCCAAAAAGGAAACAACTTTTAATGCATGCCTTTGAATATCGTTGCCGAAACCATGCATTAAAGAAACTGCCAAAGATTCGAATTATAAAAATGATTTAAAAATAAAAAAATACTGATGTGCAAAACTGCAAATGAATACTTAATTAACCAGTGAGGTCAACAAACTTCTTATGTTACTTAGGACCCTAGTGGGTGGGTGTCGGGTATTCATTTGTTGGGTGGGTTGTTTTGGTGGGAATCACGTTCTAGATATAGGTCTCAAGTATTATATGACCATATAAGATAGGCAACAAACGAAAAGATAGGTATCTCAGGTTTTATCAATACAGGTCTTAGTCATATAAAACATCATTAATAGCATACTAGTGTATACCACTACATATCAAAACATTCATGAACTGACAGTTGGCATTTTACACACTATAAATCCAGACAAAGAAAGAAGTTTCACTCACAACTCACATAGCATTAACATTGAAAAGGATATTCTCTCCGCCATCCCTTTTCATTGGCATGGTCAATTCGCCTTTGTAACAGTGTAATTTCTCTAGCAATCCACTGTAGACAAATTAGATATTTTAGGAAAGATCAGAACCAACTGGAAAGAAATCATATGTGCAATTAAAGTGGAAGGCAATATCTGAATATTAATCAAATAGTAGGAAGCCTCTTTAGAAAACAAGTGAATGGCAGGTGCACAATGCGACCCACAAACTTATCTTCCACTGCTCTGTAAGGTGGGTAGTTATATCCAGAAGGCCCAATCTGGTTATTCAAAAAGAAGGTGAATTTCTGGTTTATGAAAATGTTTCAAAGGTACTCTCTATGACCTTGCTTGGTCCTTCAACTAGTATGGTGCTGCCTTCCCTTTTGTGCCAGACATCATCAGATTCATTATTCAGAAACAGATTAAGGTATCAACAATTCTTCTGTTAATCTTCTTCCAAAGGACATTCTTTTGTTAACATAAAGGTCGTGTGAAACATCACACGACAACATGTATTTTACTAACAATGTCATTTGGGAAAATAAGCATCAGCAAAAATGATATTTAAGAAGTCCTAGTACTCTGATTCGGACATGAACATAAACTGTGATGGACCTCACTAATTCATGTCCATCAGCAAAGTTCCTCAGAAATGCAACTGTAGGAAGATTTAGTTTTCATTACAGAACCTTGATGGAATAGAAGTACAAAAACAAAAATAGTGTTTTAGTGCTAGAAATACCTCCGAGGTATGTCCATCACCTCCAAGGTGTACACACATCAGCTTATAGGAATACCTTAGCTATTAATCTTTTGCACTCCCACTGTCCCAAAATGTATGGTACTATGGTATATTCGGGTTTGGCAGGAGTTTTATGATAGTAAAGGAAATCATTATTTATTTTACAATTGCGACCTTCTAAAAGAAAGAAAAGTAGTTTTGATCTACAAAAAATAAAGAGTTCAATGGTAGACAATAAAAAGATAAAGGGAGAAAGTAAATGGTTACAAGAGTTCAAATTAGAAAAGTGTTCAAATGAGAGAAAAAAGAAAGTGTATCTAATGCTAATACGTGGAAGTTAAGGGGCAGAAAAGGGTATTTCTTCGCACAATACCCTGAACTGCCAAAGATGCGCATCTCTTGAAACTTAAAACTTTGGACCATTGCATTATGGATTGTAGTTCTGCAAATGATGTCTGGACCCTTTTTTAACATTACTGTTACAAACTACATAGTGCTTTCAGTTTTACTCAAAATTTCAAGTTCTGGCTGGTTTTGGTTTTGGTTTTGCTGGGACTAACTAGCAGATTCTTCAATCTACCATCATCTTTCCACCTGAGAGCTTTGGGAGTGGGCTATAAAGTACATCTTGCAGGGGATTTGTACACCATGGATCAGGTAATTTATGAGATCACTAAACCCTCACAGGAAAACTCATCATCGGTCCACCCTTTTGATTGTTGATTAGAGCAACAGTGAATAGTCACCATTAAAAATTAAGCTCCATTACTGTAGTGTCCAGCCCAAGCTTCTAAGGTTAGTTTATTGGCTGGAGCCTTCTTCAGGCTAGTCAAAGTGTCTAACTAAATACTGGCAGATACTCTAATGGGAATGCAGGTAAAAAGGATTGCAGATTAAATGAGACCGTCAAGGATCTGTGGTTTTAAGTCCAGCAGCAGCCAGCAGTACAGAGATCTGATTGTTTTAGAACATATCCTAGGTAAAGGTTGAAGATATTTGCACTAAAACTGATTCAGAAATCATTGAAGTGATCAATGGGAACAGTGGATTCACTTGAAACATCACAATTAAAAGAAAAGGGATAAGGATTTATTTAAGCATTTTGCCTACATTCTTAACCATATATATAGGTGACTAACAAGGTGGCAGACCTCCTGGCACAGTGTGCAAGCACAGCACGTGTGGACAGGACCTATTTTACCACAACATGTGTTTCAGGCATTCCATATCTATCATATGTGATCCTAATTAGTCTATTTTTACTACTTCTGCAGTTCTGTGCAACCTTTTCAGAAGACTTCTAATTAATTAAATCGTCACTTAGTAGCTACTCAGTCAAAGGCCCAATAGTGATTAGAATTTAGAACAGACAACTCTCGAGAAACCGGTGACTACTCAGCCTGTAATTCGTATGAATACAATTTAACAAACATACACTATGAATTCCAAATAATGTTAGTCATGAAGTCTTCTATATGCAAAGCAAAAACCATTAATCCAAAATAACTAGCACAAATTCATAAAGAGCATTTAAAAAAGATTCAACTATCTAATCATTCCTAACTTCTTAGCTCCTAAAATCCTAACTTCATGGTTCCTAACTTAATCATCAATTGGTCCAAGAACAGCATCATCTTCATCATGTCCACAAACACATCTTGAGTGAGAATTTGTAGTTCCACAAACTACTAAATCCTTGAAAAGTAATTCATTAAACTGAAGTCCCTGAGTTCTTGTTTGATCTGACAATGACTCATTATTTTCTTCCATGTCTAACTGGTGGATTATTTGCCATGTACTCAGGCTCACTGACACAAATTGCAGAATACTCACTGAGTAACTCAATTTTTGAATCTCATCCAGTAGGCAAACAACTCGGCAAGGTCTTGAGAAAAGTAGCGAGTACTCATTGTTTAAATTACATAGGAACGCGTGTTTAATTATATTAGCTTCTTTAAACTCTCAGAGTGAATTGGGGTTGATTTGGCCATGGGCTCATCTCACGTATCATTTTGACCTTTTCCTTACATAGTATTCCGGTGTGGATCAATTTGTCATATGAACCTAGATTCAAGATCTTAACATCATAAGAGGTTAACAACTGTATGTGGCCATTCTATTTAATAATGAAGTCCTTTAACATTAAAAAAAAACAGAAAAAAAACACTTACATGTCGCGTGATGTCCTCATGCAGAATATGGGCCTTTAACTCAAAATCCACCTGTTAGAAAGCCAAATTCCGGAGAAAAAAATCCTAATGTCACAGACATATAGTTATAAACTGAGTAAAATAGTTATACAGATAAGGTTGATCAATCATGATTGATCACTTGTAAAAATGGAACTTAAATAAACTTACAACTGTAGGTCTTTTAAGCAAACCACCTTTTACTCTTTCACTCAAATCCTCACATTCTTCCTGAAAAAAATATGGAAAGACAACTAATATATAGAATGAAGTAAAATCTAAAAAGTACTTTTGACAAAGTGATTGGTATAAGTTTTAATTTAATTAGAAAGTGGACGGATGAAAAGAAAAAAGTAGAAGAATCTGGCAAGGAGCATTCTACGAACAGCGCCCAAGCTTTGATAGGGTTCAACGTTCTTCAGATGATTTTAAATTTTGATATCTAAGCCCATAAAGTTTTATCCACTTTGACAAGCCATACAACACGTAAATTACCAGAGACATCCCAACACTACAACAACAACAACATCCAAGCCTTAGTCCCAAAAGATATTGGGGTCGGCTAACATGAATCGATACATGATATCACAACCAAAAGGAAAAGAAGGAATAAAGATAAAAAGATAAGCTATTATGAAAAGATAATATAAAAAAGATGAATATATATATATAAATGATAAAATAAAAAGGTTGCAAATAATGCTTATAAATATATATATATATATAAGGATAAAAAAAACTACGAAAAAAAAAGATGAGGGAAAAAAATTATCAAGATCACTCCTTCACGTGAATACCCGCCCTCCACTTAGTTCTCTCCAAAGTCATGCCCTCATCCAACCCCAGAAAAAGAATATCACTTCGAACTCCCCTAACCCACGTCTGTTTGGGTCTTCCTCTCCCTCTCTTCCCTGCCTCTTGTCCACACATCTCAACTCGCCTAACAGGTGCATCACTCGGTCTTCTACGCACATGACCAAACCACCGTAGACGCGACTCCCGCATCTTGTCTTCAATAGGTGCTACTCCCACCCTTTGTCTGATTGTCTCATTCCTCACGCGGTCCTTCCTAGTATGCCCACACATCCAACGCAGCATGCGCATCTCTGTCACACTCATCTTATGAATGTGACATTGTTTCACCGCCCAACACTCTACGCCATACAGTAATGCAGGCCTAATTGTTGTCCTATAAAATTTACCCTTCAGTCTAGTCGGCATACCTCGGTCGCATAGAAATCCTGACGCACTCTTCCACTTCATCCACCCTGTTCTGATTCTATGGGATACATCTCCATCTAACTCACCGTCCTTCTGAATTATGGAGCCCAAGTAACAGAACATATCGCTGACCGGTATCTCCTTACCATCCAGAGTAATTCCGCTAATACCACTACTTCTACCTCCACCAAACTTGCACTCCATGTACTCTGTCTTGCTCCGACTTAGTTTGAAACCCTTATTCTCCAATGTTTGTCGCCATACTTCCAACTTTGCTTTAAGACCTGATTGCGTCTCATCAATCAATACAATATCGTCGGCAAACATCATGCACCACGGTATATCGTCTTGAATTGACTTCGTAAGTTCATCCATGACTATGGCAAATAAGAAAGGACTCAAGGCCGATCCTTGGTGCACTCCGATAGTAATAGGGAACTCTTCAGTCCTCCCTACACTAGTACGAACACTTGTAGTACAATCCTCATACATATCCATGATGATGCTGATATACTTGCGTGATATGCCTTTCCTAGTTAAGGCCCACCAAAGAACTTCTCGAGGTACCCTATCATATGCCTTTTCTAAGTCAATGAACACCAAATGCAGATCCTTATGAGCATCTCTATACTTCTCCATAAGTTGTCGAAGAAGGTGAATGGCCTCAGTTGTTGAGCGACCAGGCATAAAACCGAATTGATTTTCTGAAATCTTCGCAGTCCTTCGAAGTCTTTGCTCAATCACTCGCTCCCAAAGTTTCATAGTGTGACTCAAAAGCTTAATCCCTCGATAGTTGGAACATTCTTGTACATCACCTTTATTCTTAAATAAGGGGATAAGAGTACTCTTCCTCCAACTCGTTGGCATCTTGTTGTTTCTCCAAATCATGTTGAAGAAACTTGTTAACCACTCGACGCCTCTCTCTCCCAAACTTCTCCAAGCCTCGATCGGTATGCCATCTGGCCCCATTGCTCTTTTCCGTCCCATCTTCCTCAGAGCTTCTTTAACTTCCGTTGTTTGGATCCTTCTCACAAAATCACGGTTTACCATACAATCTGGTATGGACAAATCGCCGATATCTTGCGTTTTGTTCCCGTTGAATAGTGTATCAAAGTATGACCTCCACCTTTCTTTTATCTCTCTGTCGTCCATTAATATCCTCTGATCAACATCCTTCACAGACTTAACTTTTGCAATATCTTGAGTTCTGCGATCACGAAGACGAGCAAGTCTATAAATATCTAGTTCTCCTTCCTTAGAGTCCAACTTTTCATACAACTCCTTGTTCACTTTCCAACACTATTAGTTAAAAATAATTTTTGGAAATTAGTGCTTATTTTTCAAAGAAAAAGTGGGGGAAAAGCCTTCTCAAATAGTTGGATATTTACAAACTTTGTCAGATTCGGTTTTAAATTACCATTCGCCTTTTACCGGAGAAACAAAAGAACCATAACTTATATGGGAATAATAAAAATTAGTACCAATTGCACACAGTTCCAAAAGAACAAACCATCAAACACAGTTCACAATATAAATTAATAACAGATACATTCTCTTTACCTCAGTGAAATCGTCATCTGACAGTGAAGATATGGAAACATCTCTCAACCAACTTGAGAGCTGAAGGTAAGTTTCCGTGCCAGTATCTACAGACTGAAACGTCTTCTTTACACCTGTAACTATTTGACTTCATCACCAAACAAAACCCAAAAAGGCATCCAGGTGCAACGGACTATGATATTAAGACAATATGATTCACTGAAAAACTTTAATAAAGTCAGCCACTCAGCCTACAGGAAGAAATTGCAGAATGATAAATTTGGGGACAAAATGATATCCCCAGTTTGACTCTTCATGAGTTAGGATTTCGGTGACCTTACCAAGGACAGCAACCTAGTTAGAGGTGCGTTCAGATAAAATGGATATTGTAGTACACTAGTACTGTACAGAAGCAACTCCTCTCAACGGGGAGCAGATACATTTGTTCTAAAGTTTTGAATAAACTTATAGCAGATAAGGTAAAATGGTTCACCCTAGTTCCCTACTGAGAAAAAATTAATCATCCGTGTTTGAGATTTGAGAATGCAATTTCATTATTTAAATAGATATTTAAAAGAGGCCTGTGAGACTTTAATAGTCTAATATGAAAGAGGCAGAAACTTTTTTAAAATAGGGAAACTAAAATGTAAACTGCATACACCCAAACGACTAAACCCCATCTTCTAAGAAATCTGGATTTATTACTTTAATAGTCTAATATGAAAGAGACAGAAACTTTTTTTAAATAGGGAAAATGGACTGCAATCTCTAATATTAATCTTTTTTCAGTAACTCGGTTTTGAATGCAACAGCAAGTGGATACAAACCGGATGTTATTTCTGATGTAAGAAAAGTAAATTGTAGAAAGAAAATTAGTTCTCCATGTGTATTCTATATCGTTGGCTATGGCCTATGGGGATATAATGGACGTACTGATAGAACATTGAAAGGTATTATTATGCTGCATTAATCAATTACTTGAACGAGTTTACCTAGGTTGCATGCACTTATTATAAATGGAGCATAAAATTATGCATTGGAACTTTTGTGAGCATTACCTGTAACTTGCTGAAGCTGGTGAGAATTTTTTTGGAAGAAATCGTAAGGATCAGATTTGATCCTCACAAAGCTTCCCACTACCTTATTATCAAAGTTCTCCTGGGTTTTCAAAAGAGCCTGAACTAAGCTCCTCTTCAAATAGACAAGCTTAATATTTTCAGAAGTAAGGGCGGCAAAACTACTTTTAGGGGCCTCCTGGATCTTCTTTTGTTGCGCTGATATTTTTCTTTCCTTTGATATAATCAAAGAACCAGTCTCTCCATCCACATCCTCTGATGAACTGTTTTCTTCCTCAGACTCATCTTGATTCTCAACGAAGTGTGTTTCCAACAAATCATAAACTTTTATCCTGGATATCGATTTCTTCCCAAAAAGCGTCCGAAGTCTTTCATCACATACGATCCTCTTCTTCTTTTGTGGATTCACAAGGTTGTTGGAGCGTACATAGTCAATGACTACGGCATTGACCTCATGCCTGGAGTACTCTCTATTGGTTTCCCTGCCAATTGATTGGAGAAATTCAATCAAAGGCCTGGATCCCCATCCTATGAATTCTAATCTTTTGGATTTAAAACTCCTTTTTCTTTTTAGTGGGAAGAATGAAGGATCTTCGGCTTCCTCTACCCAATCTAACGAATCTGATTTCATATTGTAGAGCTTTAGACGATGCTAACGGAAGGGCAATACATGTGGCATTTCCAGTCTTTGCAAAGAAAAGAGAGTTTGATTTGCATATTCTACCTGGAATAAGGTAGCTATCAGCGCATGGCTAAAAAATGGAAGAAATACAAAGCGAAACACCGAAAGAAAGAAAACAACGTCAAATATTAAAGAAAGAGAACATAACAAAAATACAGTGAATAGTACTACATAAACCATAGCTTTCAGTGTGCTAGTAGGAATTCGAAAGTTTGGTATACCCTATTAAATCAATCCTACCACTGCCACCACTAGCGACCATCCTTATCGTCAGCGCTATTGACCACCACTGTCACCTTTAACTACCACTACTACCGGCTCTAACCACTGTAGCATCGCTGAACACTGCCACAATAATCAATCACTACACCTCCGAATTTGGTCCCGACACCAATGATATTAGACACTCCCGATGTAGTACTCCATCCGTCCCTTAAACTTTGCCAACTTTCCTTTTTAGTGGTCCCACTAACTTTGCCACTTCCATTTTAAGTAAAGAATTTGTGGTTCCAGTTAATTCTTCTTTCCTCTGCGCAAGCCTCAACCACATAGTTTTTACTTTATTAATCCTTGTGCCAGTCAAACTTGGCCAAGTTTTAAGGGGCGCAAGGAGTATATGTTTTATAGTCATAAAGTGCTGGTAGAATAAATATTTTATAGTTTTGAAAACATGAAATAGAATGAGAGCATGAGAATACTTAAACAGCAAATAGAAAGTTAGATAAGACAAATAAAAAAAACAGGAAAAATGAAATGGATAAATAGAAAACTAGTGAATAAAAACAAAAAAATGCAAAACAGTTTCCGTAACTAAACATGTCATTCTCTTCCCTCCCCCCCCCCCCCCAATTTTTTAAAGGCTAAAGGGTCAAATAGGCCCCTGTACCTTTCCGGATTGTTCAATTTGCCCCCCGAACTCAAAAAAGCTCCAATTGGCACCCTGAACTCCATAAAAAGATTCAAATTTTACTTTTTGCAGGTCACAAGCCGGTCACCGCCACATCATCCGGTAGGGTGCCAACTGTGCATGTGACATGGCAACTTAGGAGGTCAAATAAGCCCATGAACCCGACTGAAATTTTCAATTTACCCCCTCAACCCTTAAAAAAATTTTGACATTTTTTAGGGTTGAGGGGGTAAATTGAACGATTCGATCGGGTTCAGGGGCTTATTTGACCCCCTAAGTTGCCACGTCACATGCACAGTTGGCACCCTACCGAGTGACATGGCGGTGACCGGATTGAAACCTGCAAAAAGTGAAATTTGAATATTTTTATCGAGTTCAGGGTGCCAATTGGAGCTTTTTTGGGTTGAGGGGGCAAATTGAGCAATCCGAAAGGGTACAAGGACCTATTTGACCCTTTAGCCTTTTTTAAATGGAATTGATCACCCTTCTTCAAATGGAAATGATCACCCTTTTAAGCATATCACTTACTTGTCACGAATAGGTTCATCTTTTGAATTCATGATGAACTTTTATGGTTAACACAAAGTGACATAGCCAGAAAAAATATTTTGGTGTACCAGTACAAGGATTATTTTCTAATAATTTTTACACAATCTTTTTACACATACCATATAGGATGTTGACACACATTCTATGCTTCTCAGGATGTGTCTACTTGACATCTACGAACATGACTATGCCATCTCATACATTGATTCCTCCATGTGTCATGCTCAACAAGTGTTACTCCTACACTCTACTTTCTCATAATTCCTAATTTGAAAAAAAAGGGTTTTCTTTTTTCCAAATGGAAATTGCTGCAAGTAAAAGAAACATGTGTTTCGTCTTTTCATAGAAAATAGGAAGTTCTCAGCTTGGTAAATTCACCCTTCAAGTATGCTTGGATGAAGGGTTTGGGGGTGAAGGGAAAGCTTTTGGGAGGGCTTAGTGTGTATTTTGAACAACATAATGTTTCTAAAAGGAACAAAGGTGTCATATATTATTTAATTCATTCAATCTCAAATTGTATGTTGTTGTTGTTGAATCTCAAATTATTACTACGTATATTTCAATTTATTAAAAAAGTTATAACTTTGGATGATTTTGAGATTTGGGTGCGACTATTAAACTATGAAATAAGAATGGGGTCCCATTCTTATTTAAACAAGACAAGAATTAATCCATACAAAACAAGCTTTTACGTCTAAGAGATACAATGAAACAGTTGCAAATTCATTGCTGGTGCACATATACATCAATTCTATGAAGCACAGAGAGACCAGACCTTGAAAGAAATTGCGTGGTACAATGGGAGATGCGCCACAGTGCCAGACACGGATGGATACGCCCAGATACTACAAAACAGGCTTCGGTGGTGTTAGCTGTTAGAAGAGCTGAACAGGTATGGGCTTAGGTTGAAGAATTGGTTTTCCTTTCGGCAGCAGGAAGATATTGGAGCAGAGAGTGTGGCTTAACTGTGTAGAAGATGCACCATGCAGCTGATTACGTTTAGGAATCAGCTGGGTTTATGATGCCGGTCGCAGCGAGTTGACGGGCATACCTGAGAAATGACCGAGAGGCGACAGGTAAGCTCCACTCTCGGCAGGTAGGGTTGATCTTTTCGTGATTCTTAAGGATGCGTTTGGGACCTCGAAATTCTTTACTACCAAATTAAATGAGTCCCCTTTCGTGTACACGCCGGGTTACACGTCGGTCAAATTATCAGACAATTTAACCGACAGATAATTTTATCGGCGTTTTAGGGAAAAAATCAATTTCCACACAAACAAAAATAAGAGTTGTCTGTATGCAAACATTTTAGACGAGAATTTTTCATAAAATGTATGTGATACAAACAATTTTAAACGAAAATTTAAAACTATAATTTTAAAATGTTTGTGATACAAACAATTTTTTATTTTTGTTTGTTTGATATTATCTGTGTAGCCGATCAAATTGGTTGTACACAGATAATTTGACCGGCGTGTAACCCGACGTGTAAAAACTGGCGTGTACAAAGGAAATTTTCCATAGGCTAAAGGGTCAAATAGATACATGAACTAACTTAAAGTGTTCAATTAGCCCCTTATTTAGGAGGTTCTGTCTGGCCGTCGCCAATTGGGGCAGTTCACGGTGAAATTTTTTGATGAAATTTTTTGAGCATCTTCTTCATTAAGTCTAGTTTACTCATATCAAATTTCAGCTAAAAATTAAATTGGAAAGACAGTCAAATGATTTTCCGAAATGTACTGCTCTGTTTAACTACGCAGTTATCTTCAAAAAATCATTTGACTACTCTCCCGGTTGAATTTTTAGCTGAAATTTGGTTTGGGTAAACTAAACTTAATGAAGAAGATGCTCAAAAAAATTTCATCAAAAAATTCCACCAGGAACCGCCCCAATTGGAGACGGACGAGCAGAACCTCCTATATTAAGGGCTAATTGAACACTTTAAGTTAGTTCATATACTTATTTGATCCTTTAGCCTTTTCCATAATATACCTGAAGAAATCACTCTCATGAATCATTATCTCATTTAAAAGTGTAAATTGTTCAACATTACAATCGCATGGAGTACCATAGAGAAGAATACGGTAAATAGAGCTTTAATTAACCAAACTCCCTCGTGATATTTAAATTCGGCGCATTAGCCCCCTATGATTTCAGAAATACGTCAAACTTCCATGTGTTATAATTATTAATGTACAAAACTCCCTTCGAGAAAAAAAATTACAATTTTGAAATCACTTTTCTCAATAATATATATGATTGAATATGCAAGTAATTTGTTATGAATTCTAAAGTATACAAAAATACTAATTATTTTTCATTTATTTGAAAATTAAATTTGTTCATTGAAGGGATTTTGCGTGTGAATAACTATAACATAAAGGGGGTTTGATGATTTTTTTTAAATCATATGGAACTAATGCACCGAATTGATATTTCACAAGGGGTTTTGTGCATTAAACCTCATAATAGATGCATGTTGTCTTTTCACGTTAATAAGTGTTAATGAAATTGTCTTAAATAAAATAGATATAAAAACGAAAAATACAGATTCAAAAAGGAAAAAAGGCGGCAGAAAATCTAGCTTTGTCTAGGGCTTCTTTGGCGGACGTCAGTGTTGGTTCACCACGGCGACTGGGTTTCGGTTGTTTCTGACAGGCGAACATGGGGGAAGGGGTAGCAAAGTCATCGACCGGTCTAGAAGGGAGGCGGAGATCTGGGTCGGTCTAGCTTCAAGTTGCAACGGAGGATCTCATCAGAATTCTGCTAGAGACAATCGACGAAGGGGTAACATGATTATCTAATGGGAGTTGTCAGTTGGAATTGTCGTGGCCTTGGCAATCTGGCAACGAATTAGGTTCTGACTAATCTGGTTCAGAGAAGAAGAGTGGAAATTCTGTTTTTACTGGAAACGAAATGTGATGCTACCGGGTGCGAAGAGGTTCGTGCAAGGCTAGGTCGGGGTTCCAGGATGTACAACCGTCGATAACAAGTTGCGGTTACGATCATGAGTATGTTGACTGTTCAGTGAGACTAAGAAATGATGAGTCGGTATGGCGTTTCATCGGTTTCTGCTGATACCTAGAAAGATGCAGGAGACGTGACTCATGGGAGCTAAATTAGGAGTTATCCAAAATTTCGAACGAGCTTTGACTAGTTATGGGAGACTTCAATGATGTGATGTATGAGAACAAACACAAAAGTAATGTTCCCCACTCACCATGGTTTTTACGGGGGTTTCGGGAAGAAGTTTGGAGCAACGGTCTAGTAAATGTGTCATTTGATAGCTATCGGTGAACGTGGAAAAGAGGCAAAGGCACACTCAAATGGGTTGAGAAGAAATTAGACATGATTATTGCTAACGAGAACTAGATTTCCATATCTAGGGAGCATCAGGACACATCTTTGGAAGGTCGTGCTAGGCATGGACCGGGCCCGGTCGGGCTCCGGGCCGGTTCAAGCCGGGCTTTTTTTCATTATGTTGGACCCGGAACCGCTCCGGGTTGATACCGGGTTTAGACCAAACCGGGTCGGGCCCGGTTCAAGGTAAACAAAAATTTTGGCTTTGTAATTAACCCTGACCCCCCTCCCTCACCCCACCCCCCAACCCCCCCAAACACCCAGCCCTACCCAAGGAAAAGAAAAAAATTGAAAAAACAAAAAAAAATGAATCGGGCCTAGATCGGTTCATGAAAATCAAGGCCTGAGCCCGACCCGCCAGACCCGCCCAAACCGGGCTAAAGCTCGGAACCGGTCATCCAGGCCCGCACAGTAGCGAACCGGTCCGGTTCCCGGGTCGGTTCGAACCGGTTGGGTCCATCCCTAGGGCCTGCTAGTGATCATCTCATGCTAGCAATCTGACTCGGCAAGGAGGGCAGAAGTAAGAGGAGAAAAAAATTAAAATTGAGAATATTAATACTCCCTCCGTCCCCAATAACTTTGCCAAATTTGACCGGCACGAGAAATAATAAAGTAAAAACTGTGTGGTTAAGATTTGTGCAGAGGAGAGAGAATGAACTCGAACCACAAATTCTTTACTTTAAAGGGAAAGTGGCAAAGTTAATGGGACATCCAAAAAAGGAAAGTTGACAAAGTTATAAGGGACGGAGGGAGTAGTTTATATTAATTAGGAATATTTATGTATTTTGGCAACTGATATTTTATTATAAATATATCTGTCAGGGCTCCTATTAGAGCACGGTATTCCCATTATTCTCACATGGTATTAAGAACTCAAACCTAATTTTTTCCCTCTCTCCTTACCGATCGCTGCAGCGATGAATACCCCACCTGATTCATCCGCAGCCATGGCGTCCGCAACCCTCACTTCTACCACAACCCCGTCCTCCTTGGCGCCGGAATCAACTGCTACTGCTTCCGTACCTGCTGCTCAACTCCCAGGCGCGACTGGCTCTCCAGTTATGCAGCCCGTGCCGTCCACCCTGCACGCCAATTTTCCGCCGCCACCGTTCTTCCCTACGGCGGAACCCTACTCTCTGTTTTCCTCTCTACCGCCAAGGTCCGTTGCACCACCGGCTCGGAATCGCTCACCAGTACCTGCTTCCTCCCCTATGCCGCATGCTTCACCATTCTTCGGCTCCACCTTCTTAGGCACGTCAGGCATAATTCGGCCGCCAGAGCAGGCTGGGCCGCCAGAGCAGGCTGGTTTTGGGTCTCCTATGTCGGCTCTCGCTCAGTCCATCTCACATATTACTACTGTATCTCAAAATGTGACAATTAAATTGAAGGCAGTAGAGGATTACCTCACATGGCGCACTCAGTTCGAGTCTTTCTTGGTCTTTCAAGGTTTGTTTGGCATTGTTGATGGTTCCATTCAGGTACCCCCATGTATTATGTTGATTATGCTCATCGTCAAGTTCCCAATTCTGAATATTATTATTGGCTTAGAGTAGATCAAACAATTCGTTGTTGGTTGTTTGCTACTTTGACTCGTGATGTTTTAGTTGATGTTCATGACTTGAAACATTCTGCTGATATCTGGGCTAGACTTCAAACTAGATTCATGTCTACCAGTTTACCCCGGTGCATGGAACTTAAACGATTATTGTCAAACATTAAAAAGAAAGAAACCTAGTCTATGGAAAGCTACTTGAGAGATCAAGAATTTAGTAGATGCCCTTGCTGAAATTAATTCCCCTGTCTCGGATAAAGAGCTTCTTCAATCTATTCTGACTGGCTTGGGACCGAAGTATCGATCTCTTGTCACTACTGTCTCTTTACTTCCTGCACAATTTCCCTTTGACATTTTGCATCCCCGTCTCCTGGAAGAGGAGGAACGTGTTCTGTATGAACGTCAACAACAAAATCCAGCCGGTTATCAGGCATTTGTAGTCGCTGCTGCGGGTGGGCAGCAGCCCGGAGGTTACCCCAATCGCGGCAGGGGGGCCGCGGACGGGGTGGTCGCGGCAGAGGAAGCCGCGGGCGTGGCAGGGGACCGCAGTTCAGTACGGAGTGCAGCCGCATCCTGTTTTTGCTCCTTACGGACAGCAGCAGTCGGCTGGGGCACATCCACCACATGCTGGGCAGCAAGGGCAACCGGGGTACGGCTTCGGTCTGCAGGGTCAGCAGGCTTCGCCTGAGGGGGTGCTTCCTCCTCCTCCACACACTTCAGGTTCTGCATGTAATTCAGCTTTGTCAACTTTAAATATTAATCCCTATTTTATTTATGATACTCACGCTAGCGTTGCAGGTTTCCATCGGGTGAGGGTATCCTTGGTTCTGTTCCACCACCCATGGTATGTCAAATTTGTTTCTCTGTAGGTCACTCTGCTCTTCACTGTCCGTCTCGCTTTAGTCAGCCATCAGCTCCAGCCCTTCTGACTTCAAATAATGGTGAATCAAATGCTACTTTATGGTATTGATGGAGTATATGGGCCTGGACCCCAGGGCCCACATACTCAGAAGGACAGAAGGTACCACGACCACCTGGTGGGACCCTCGTCGGCCAGATGACCCTCATCGGCCAGAAAGAAATCTACTCAGAACGTGATCCAGAAGCCAGTAAGAAGCCGGGTGACCTCGTCGGCCGGGTCTTCATCGGCCATGGCCTCGTCGGCCGTGCCCTCATCGACCACAGATGGCCTCCAGAATAGGGTTTTATACTTAATCATTTCTACACCTTTGTATCCGGCCCATTAGTGGCCCTATTGTAAATGGGCCTCCCAAGCCCAAGACTTGGGAGCCCAGTCCTAATTTTTCCTATAAATACTCCCTCTGGAAGTAGTTGTAAGGGTTCAAAAATTCATTAATACAAAGCAAATATAGAACTTCTCTCTCTAACTCTCCCTTCTCTCTAGACCTATAGTCCATCAGGTATCCTGACTCTGGGGCTTCGGCTCACATGACTCTATCAGAAGGTATTTTAGTTAATAAATTACCTTACACTGGACCACTTTCTGTTAGTGTAGCTAATGGTTCTAAACTTCCTATTTTTAATATTGGGGATGTGCATTTAAATTCAATAAGTCATCCCATCACGTAGAAGTCTGTCTTTCATGTGTCTCACATAAAATTTAATTATTATCTATTCACAAACTTTGTGCTGATAACAATTGTGTTGTAATTTTTGATAAAAAAAATCCTTTTTTGTTAAGGAAAAAATTTTGGGGAAGGTCCTTCTTAAAGCACCTAGTCATGGTCATCTCTATCCAGTCAGTCTCAGCTCCCAGTCTCCCCTAGCTTTGTCTTCTCTTACTTCGCCTGGACCTGTTTGGCACCGTAGATTAGGCCATTGTGGCACTTCTATTTTACGTAGTTTACACAGTCAAAGACATATTTGTAGTAGTTCTGCCAACAAACTTTCTGCGCGCTCTTTTCATTGTGTTTTTATTGGCTATGCATCTGGCTATAAAGGGTATCGTTGTCTTGAGCCTAAGTCTGGTAGAGTTTATGTTAGTCGTCATGTGAGATTTCTTGAAAATAATTTTCCCTATACCTGATGTTGGTCCAAAATAGTACGCTCGTACACTTTTAGGAAAGCTAAGTACGACACTCAAGCAGGAGTTAGGAAATAAAGAACGAGAATGGAAAGTAGCTAGAAGATTTAGTTGCCAAGAATATCATATAGAATTCGCCTTCCTAATATGAATTAAAAGCCGCCTTTTATAGGCGTATACAAATCGTAACCGCTAACGATAATAATGACAGGGTGAACACTAACCTCGGGCGGCGAGTTAAACTGATTAGGAAAGACCGATTATGGCTATTGAGGTTAGGAAAGCTGTGTTTGATATGCATCGGGATAAGGCACCAGGACCAGATGGATTAAATCCGGCTTTTTCGGCATTATTTGAGATGGTGGGGGTAGATGTGGTCAAATTTTGCCAGAGCACCATGGCGGCAGGGTGAATTCTTAGAGGCAAATAAAACTAATTTGGTTCTTATTACGAAGAAAGGTAAACCTGAATGCATGGGGGATTGGAGGCCAATAGCTATGTAATGTGGTTTTTAAATTTTTTTAATAAGGTCCTGGCCAACAGATTAAAGGGTATTCATAATGATTTGGTAGCTACAAACCAAAGTGTTTTAGTTTCGGGCAGGTCTATTGTTGATAATGTTATGATTGCTTTTGAGTCTTAACATTGTTTAAAATGGGAGACTCGAGGGAAGGACAATTACGTTTCCCTAAAACTTGATATGAGCAAGGCATATGATAGGGATATGTGGAGGCTTTAAATGAGGGCTATGGGTTTTTAAAGAGAAATGGATTGCGATGATTGTGGAATGTATTTCTTGTGTGGAATATTTTACTTCTTTTGACGATGAGGTGATTGGATCGGTAACGCCGAGTAGGGGAATTGGACCAGGGGGTCCTTTATCCCCATATTTGTTTATTTTGGTTGCAGAAGGGCTTAGTGCGTTGATTAGGAAGCAGGAAAGCATGGGAAACATTTTGGGTATCGCTTGATGGGTGAAATGTGTGTTTAATCAGAAAATAAAGATATTGATTAATTAAAATAACCAAGAAAAACAGAAACAAGAAGGGACAGAAAGCCAAAGCTTGTGCAACGCACAATTTCCTTAAAAGATATTTGCTACCTCCTGCGGTGCTAGGAGCGTTGCAGCGATAATTTCTCAGGATACGGTGGCTACAAACAACCGTATGAGCACACAATCGGTTGTTCAGGTAAACAGAAACAAAGCAAAAAACACTGAGGAATTTTGAGAAAGCTGGAGGTGGTTTTAGCTCAAATTGTGTGAAGAATGTGTATGTTCGTGTGTTGTTGCAAATCACCTACCAGCTATATATATGGATGAATTTGTTGTGTGTCAAGAGCTTTAATGGATGTGAATGTTGGACATAAATGACCAGAACGTTGCGATTCTGCCAGCCTGCTGATTCTGAAAAAAATAGGAACGTTACGGGAAGAAACAAAAATTAAATAGTATCTTTGTAAGATAAATTTTTGGACGACATTCGTTTCCGCAAGTTGCTCGCGCACGCAAGTCGAAATTTTTCTTCCGTTTTCGGGATTTGATTGGCAATCATATCATTTCACTTTATTATACTCAAATTTCAACCGCAACTTGTATTTTTCATTCACTTTATTAATAATTTTGTCAAACTAAAACAACTTAACGAGACATCCAATATGGAACAGAAGAGTACATTAATTGCTGTGCAAATATTTGTTGTTTGTGTCAGCACATATTTGTCTAGACTAGATTGACCGTATGTTACCCTTCGTGTAAGCTTTTATAAACACAAAGCAGTTGTAGTGTCATTATACACTCTACCCATCCAACTAAATTTTGACAACTTTGCTTCTTTAAACTATCACTTACCCTTTGTTTGGTTCAAAGAAGAGGAAGGAAGGGTATTGGCGAGGAGAGTCAGGAGACTAGGGACGGGGAAGGAAGGACTTTGTCAAACTCTTCCTTCCGACTTCCTTTAACTAAACACACATGAATATTCACTTCCCTTCAAAATCCTCCAGCCAAACAGAGCGTTAATATCATTGACTGATTGAGATCTGACCCTACATATATTGTTGCTGGTGACTGAATAATCAGTAAACTAATGATCAGGAAAGGAGAAACGTAGCCAAATCACCTGGAAGGCTACAAATTTCAAGAACACAATATACTCCTTAGAGTAAGCTTAACATCATACTTAGATATCCACACGAGGATGCCCAATGTCCTTGAGAGGTTGCGACTGTAAATTATCCAGCTTCAGTATTGTCATGGTCAGCTACAAAATTGTTGTGTTGACAACACAGTTCATATAAATTGTATAACCGCGGAAATGTCAAAAATTCAGAAAAAGTATATTGTATGATAATTGTTTTAATGACTACAGTTCACCAAAGATAGTCAGCCACTATCAGTTTGCAGGGCTAATTAAGACACATCACAAGATTTAAGTAATCTGATAAACCACTAGGGATTTATACACCAAACTCAATGATATAATATTGTTAATCCTCGTCACTTGAGAAGTCAATGTCACTACTAGCATCAGGTCGCTGGAGCCAGTGTAGAAAAGACATTGCCTCAGCAAACTCATTTATTTCTTCATCACTAGAATCCTCTTGCTCCAGAAATCCTCGGGGTCTATGTGGCGGCCTGTACAGCTGTTCAAATAAATTAACCAGGCCATCAATATCTGTGTCGGAGCTGAGTCCTACTTCATCCATGTCTGGAAACCTTGATCCATATGAATCAGGCATAATAACAGAATTCCACAACAATGAACCAGGTTTGACAGTATGCTGAAAGAAAACAGAAATATCATCCATCAGGGAAGTGGTAAGCCATAAAACTAGTAAAATTCCAAATGTGAATGAAATAAAAGGATTTTTTGTTTCGGAGATTTCATTTAGAAGAGAAGGGGAGGATTAATTTTTATTATACTAGTTTATACCTATTAGTAAGTTCTAGACTATAAATAACTATGACTACTTGACTAGTTAGATCATTTAGTTTTTTATCTTCACTTTGTTTTCAACCATCCAAATGTAGAAGTTAATTTAAAAATGAATATCACCCCTTCCTTGCCCTCCTCTCCAAAATGATTGAGCTAAAGAATCCCTGAAGTAGCTCGGCAGTCATCAGGGTCACAGTGAGCAGCAAGAAGAGCTACTAGTGACCCTTAGCACCGCATCATGTGAAAAATCAATTTGGCCATGCTTGGTTAATTCACTCAATTCAGCTGTGCTATTATTGGGTGATGAAGCTGTTAGCAATCACATTTGATAATTCTAGGTAACGCAAGTGGCTCAAATACAGCTGTGATAGTACACATAAATGTTCTTTCTTTCCCCTCCCTCCCTCACTACTCACTCAGGAGAGACAGAAAAACATTTGAGAGAGAAGCGCATGGAAATGCCACCAAGCCCATTAAAATACTTTTTTATAATTCATTTGAATGGACTACAACATTGATACACACCGAATATCACTATTTGCCTTTCCAACAACTGGGAAATGCATATATGCCATACACTTGACACCACAATACTAACAATGACATGTCAAACTAATATTACAGTTGTGCTACAGAGATATCTAAAATATTAAAATGGGTACCTTGTAAAAACAGCTAGTCCCAAATGGGCAAAGCCCATTTCCAAATTCAAAGTGCTTGCAATCAATAGTCCTGAAGAAAGACAGAGATAGCAATTAACTACTCAAATTAAACATGATAAATAGAAAAAAACTCATCGAAAGTCACTTCTTTTGGGACTTCAAGTACTCAAGTATCATACATTCATCAAATACTTATAGTATACACATAATCATCTCATCATAGAATTACTTGTATTTGCTTAAAGGGATATATAATACTTATATTAGAAAAAGAATTTAGGTACCTATGCCAAAGTAGCTCCTCCCACCCCTCCCCTTAAAAATACACACAGCAACAGCGAAATACCTGAGTTTTGCTTTGTAGCTGTCAATAATTTCTTGTTTTTCTTCCTTCGTATTGTACCAAATCACGCTAGGAATGACAAAATAAGACCGCTTTCGGCATATAGGGCATGCCCTTAATGCAGAATTTACATCCACCCCAGATGATGGAGAGCTACCACGCCAATTCCTGATGCACAATATGCAAAAAGGATGGTCACACTCTGATAAGATTCCGAATTTGCGTTCAGCTTCTGTTGGCTTGGAGAGAACACGCTCAAGGCACACACTGCACTCTATTTCTTGACTATGTTTTAATAATTCCACATGTTTTTGTCTTTTCTTGCATGATTTTAAATGCTCCTCTCTTTCCCTAGGTTTAAAAGGATTCAGACAATGCTTTCCACAGGTGGGACATAAATCTCCATGAATATGAGAACACTTCCCGCCCCGATGACAGTTACCAGCTGCTGCAAATGAGCAGATTGACTGATCAGTTAGACCACAAACAGTCGCCTCATCTATGACATCAATCTTTAATGAATCTTGAGATGCTGAATTGTGACTCATAGCTGGTTTCCTATGCCCCGAGAAGGACGATGCAGAAGGCTGCAAGTGTGAATCTTTAACGTGTTCATATCTGCACCGGCTCCCAAAAGCACAAGTTCCTTTTTGGTAATAGGCACAAACCTGAAAAGTATGACATTGCCAAACTTCAGATAGATGTATAATAATAAATAAGTAGCACGGCTACCACGTCAAATAGTCCAAAACCCTTACATTATCTGAAGGTGATTTCATATCATGCAAAAACTCACAGTGCTCCCCTTTTAGACATCCCCCTTGTGCAAAGAACTTGCAAAGAACCCTGGAGATTTGGTATAAATGAATGAGCTTAGGGGGTCACAGATGGAAATTTGCTGAAGAAGTAATGATTTAGGAATTGACGAACTACCACATTAATGATTTACTACTTTGTATTGAGCATTCATTATTAAAAGGAATTTCCTCAGAATTCATAAAAAATAATCATTGGGCAGATCCAAATGAAGTTTTTTAAGAAGTATTACAGATACAACAAGATGTACCCCGTTTGGGTCTGCTTCTTCCATTCAATTTAATCACTAGAATGATCAAGTGTTTATATGAACAAAAAGAATCTGCAAGCATTCAATTCCCCCTAAAGTGGAATTCACAATGGATTCAACAAAAAAGTAGTATCACATTGCTGTGGGACCAAATTATCAACCTCATCTAAGCCCATCAACAAGATATGGACAAAGGGTTGAGTCATCTCCATTAGAAAACACAAAAGTAAAAAAAAAAATCACATTCGAAAAATAAGAAAAGACTTGGAAATTGAGATGAAGGGCCGAAGCCGGAGGATTAAGGGGCGTCCTATATTAATTTAAATGGAAACGCGAGGGAAAAGAAACGAAATTGGGACAAGATTTCACCCTTTCGGCATGGCTGTGATCTTCGGTAGGGAAACGGAGCCCTAGAAAAGCTCCGATGCAGATAGAAGTTGATGATATTTGAAATCCGAGGGAGACAGAAATATAGAGAAGGCAGCGGCCTAGTGTCTCGCGTCGCCCGCTCACAGAAAGCGATGGAAACGTGGAGGCGAGAAAAATGAGCGAAATAACAGGGTTTCTTTTTGCCTTTGGCGGTTCAAACGCGTAAATTCCACATGCCCCTGCGTATATGGATGCAAGAATCCTTTAAATATTCGATATGTGGACAAGATTCGGAAAATTCTATAGGTCACACGTTCCTGTCTTTCCTGATTAATGTGAATGTTACTCAAGCCATTAAAAATTGAGAATTCTCTGCCTACATACGTTTTATTTAGGGCTTTTTTTGTTGGATATTATTAAATTAAAGTTAAATTTTTAAAATGTGTCCATTTTTATAAAAGGACAAAAAATGTGATTAAGAAATCATATATTTGGAAAAACATGATGTCACTGTTAAATTTTATATTTTTATGTCACTATCAGATTTAGTTCACTTTTGAATGTCACTATTGTTGTGGAACTTATCACCATGACAGTTTCCGTTCAATAAAAACACCGCCCTGCCACCGCCAACGACACCACATCCACAGTGACACGCCACTATTGACACCGCCACAGTGACACAATGACTCTGATCCCAATGACCTTGCCTGGTCATGTGACATCTGCCCCGCCTCTTCCAGTTACCTCTGCCGCCGTCCAACCCCAATGACCCCCACATATGCCTGACCAGTGGCCCTCCGCCCATCCCCACCCCGCCCCAACAGTGAACCCACCACCTCCCTTCCACAATTGTTTCCTCCGCCCCACCCCTGCCACTACCCCACCCTCACCCTCACCCCTGCCAGTTACCCACTGCTTAGCTCCCTTGCAATCGGTCAACCACTTCCCTCCCCACCACCGCCCTACCTTATCAGTCTCTATCCAAAAATCAGAGATTTTAAATCTGGAAATATAGTCGTCTAGTTGAACGGCGGTGGAACGGCGCGATGCTCCTTGAGCCCCATGTGGTCTTCGTTTCCGGCTTGGGAGGGCATCGAATGGGTTGCGAGTGAGAATAACGGAGAAGAGGAAGAGATTAGTTGCAGCGGCGCGGAGGAGTTGAAGTGGGGGCGCAGATCTGTCACTTTCGCTGAGGTAGGGGTCGTCGTCATCACTGGATTCCACCATCTCTATGGTTGTGCCTCCACTGAAGATCCAGTCACTGAAGATGGCTGATGCGAGGAAGTGCCATGAGAGGGGTACCGCCACTGAAGATCCAGTCATTGCCGCGGTTTTGTCGTTGACATGATGCGAGGAGCTTGTTGATAGCCACATGGGATGGCTGATGCGAGGAAGTGATCGAGCCATGCGTAGTTAGGTCACTTTTTGTCAAATTTAAAAAACGGACATATTTTCGTCTTTTGAAACCTTATAGGTTATATTTTTGCGATTCTTTCTTTTATTTACTTATGTCATTATTGATTATTCTCATTACTCGTTTATACTTAAATTGATCAATTACTATATTATAATTGGTCTATATGTGTGTGTATATATATATATATATATATCCTTTGTTCTCTAATAACTGTCTCATATTCTTTTTTGGGTATGTTTTTAATTATTGGTTTATCTTTCCTAGTTTAGTAAAAAAATTCAATCAAAATACATTTATACCTCAACTTTTATTACCCTTATTTCTTTTTTACTTCTTATATACGGGTACTATTTCTTCTGTATACTTTATTATTACCTTCTCTTCTTAATATATTCTCTTTTATATTTTTCCATTTATCCTACACTCTCTACCTCCTTAAAAATCACAAAAACCTAAGGAGACTATTAATTAAGAACGGAGGGAGTATAAAGGATAAATTGATCACTATATCGTGGGAGCGGCCTATGGTGAGCATATACTCCTATACCTAAAACGAATTATGTGGACAATAAAAACATCATTGGACCGTTTCTATGAGTCAATTGGGCTTTAAAGTTGAGCATGAACAATTGAAATTGCAATCAGGCTTCTCTCAAACGCTATCGTGATATTTTATATCATATTGAGCCTCTTTCAAGTGTCGTTGGGCCATTAAAATTATATTCGGCTATCATGATAGTTATTGGGCCTTATCAAAAGGAAAATATTAATATGGATCCGTTCGGATAAAATTTAGTGATCAAATTAATTTGAGCTATTTAAAAATTTTCTATTAATTTAATAATAAATTAAATCTTTAACAAAATGGACCGGTCCTATTAATTTCTCTACTTTGAGCCCATTATTAAATAATGGCCAATAAAAAACAGATATGATCCGATTTTTGAATAGGGCAATAAATCTAGTTAAGAAATTTGTTCAAATGCATGGAAAGTAGCTATGAACCATGCTAAGAAAGTTGTTCAGATAAGTGCTGATTTTTCTAGCTGTTAAAATGCAAGCAACTAGAGCCCAAAGTCCATTTTAATTGAGACTCAGGGGGTATGGGCGAATGTTTGCAACCCTAATGCATATTTCATCTCTCCTGACCTACATATAGGGATCTCAGTTGAGAGCAACAGATGAGAGAACTTCCAGACGAAGAAACGTCGCAGAAAAGCTCTGAAGAACTCCCAAAAGGCTATGAAGGATTCCAAAGAAGAGGAAAAGATCAACCCATTAATTTTATTAAGAATATGTGAATAATCCTTTGAGATTACGTCGATTCTTGATAAATAAGTCCAAAAGTTGAAGAATGTTAGAAGATATGATCGAGGAACGAAACTTGAAGATTCGAAGATCTAAAGAACAAGACTTTGAAGGTTCGAAGATCTGAAGATCGATCTTTGAATATGTGAAAATATGAAGATTGAATCAAGATTCAATTGAAGATAAAGTCATATATCTCGGGAAGCCCTTTAACTGAAGATCAAGTCATAAAACGATCCATTTGTTGCATATCAAACTACTTGAAAACCGGAGACCCTTCAAACTGAAATCTGCATTCAAGAACATTGGAAGATTCAACAACAATCAAGTGCATTAGATCGAGGGCTCTGCAAATTTAAAATCGACTCTATTTCGTCAATTTATCTAAACCGTCTGGATATTTGGTCGATTGACGCCTTTGTTTTAATTATGCGCAGAAAACTAAACCTAGATAACCATTCGCTTCCTCTCTCCATGGAGCTGCGATTCCCGACCATCGATGAAGCTTCGTTCTCAATTTCATCCTCTTTCTCCCTAAAGCTACAATTCCGTCGAAGAAGCTCTAATAGCAGGTCAATTGTCTCCCTGGAGCTACAATTCCATCTAACAAGCTAATGCATTCAATTTTATTTTAGAGTAATACTACGTATGTCCCATTTTATTTTAAATATCAATTTTTATCTTAGTGTTGAGAATACTTTATGGTGTTCAATCTAATTAAATATCTTTGTATTTGTGTAGTTATTAATTAAACGTGTAATACGGGCCACAAATGTGTATCAGCCCGTTAGCTTCTTTGTAACCCGTAAGTTAGCCAACTTCTCCTATAAAAGGAGGCTAACTTACGGGAACCCTAAGCATAAAACAAGGCTCAGGAGAATAGAGGCGAGATAGAGAGATTAGGGTTTTCCGCTGCTCTCTCTCTCGAGGGAAAGCAGCGACGTTTTCCACGGTATATCAAAGGTGTTGTTCATATCAAAATCTTTCTATCTGCTTCTTCTTTATCTGCTAGATTGTTTGATTGTTAAGTTTTGGGACTATCAATTGGTATCAAAGCAGAGGCGTGAAACAGGTTGAATCTATCTGCGATTTTTCTGATCTTACGAAGAACTGTTATGCTTTTCTTCTCTTTTTCTTTAATATAGAGATTTGCTCCTGTAATCTTGTTTGTGAACGAAAATCTGTAAAAGTTCTACTGTTGGAATCGCCTTTCAAAACCGATCCAGCAGCATATCTTCTTTTTCATTTTCTGCATTTTTTTTCAGTTTCGAAGATCTCTCAATCGAGATCTCGAGATTCTTGTTTTTCAGTGCTGCAGAAATGATTTTGACTTGAAACTGATACAGGAGAATCTCGACCTTCAGGGCTATTCAAAACAGTTTTCAGATTTTCAAAATTCGAAGTTTTCATTTTGCAGGATCTCGACATTTAGGGCCTCGAATTCCTCATCTCGAGTTTTGAAATTTTGAGTTTTGAAATATCGAGCTTTGAAATTTCGAGTTTTGAAATCTCGAGTTTCGAAATTTCGAGTTTTGAAATTTCGAGTTTTGAAATTTCGAGTTTTGAAATCTCAAGTTTTGGAATTTCGAGTTTTGGGATTTCGACATTTGAGATCTCGATGTTTAGGATCTCGACATTCTGATGATTTCGAGATTTTTAATTTTTTTTATGTTTTGAATGTTTCAAAGTTTGGAGTTTCTTGAATCACTGATTTCTTCTAAACTTGATATCTTTCTTGTTCAGAACACTTCGAAGCTTTACATTATAGGATTTTTGGATGAATCTCTGTTTTTCAAAGTTTTAGAAGTTTTCGATGTTCTGATGTTTTTCAAACAGCAAGTTTTCGATTTTCTGAGGTTTTCGAAACTCCAAAGTTTTCGATGTTCCAAACATTTTGAAATTCTGAAGATTTCGAAGTCTTGAGGTTTGTTTTGCAGGTGGATTTCGTCATTTTTCTTCGAGGCAAACTCGAGATTAAGATGTCGAGATTTAAACCTCGGGATTGTAATCTCGAGATTTAAACCTCGAGATTGGAATCTCGAGATTTAAACCTCGAGATTGGAATCTCGAGATTTAAACCTCGAGATTGTAATCTCGAGATTTAAACCTCGAGATTGTAATCTCGAGATTTAAACCTCGAGATTTGGATTTCGAGGTATTGCCTTAGAATTTTCCTTAATCTCACCTGTTCTCGATATTCAACATTGAGAACCTCAACTTCGAAGAAATTTCTCAAAAACTCAAAAATTTCGAGATTTTCTGCGACACTGCACTCTTTTGGCCATAACTTTTGACTCGGTGATCCGATTTTAGCAAACTTTTTTTTTGTTGGAAAGATAACGAAAAGATATATATTTATTCTCGAGCTATGCCCCAGAACCCATTCTCACGCGCCCTCACTCGCAGTATTTGAGGGTCAAAACGTTAGTTTTCCGACAAACTTTGTAAATCACCGATGTCCAGGTCAAAACTTAGGCAAATCTTTTCAAATTCTTCCAAAGTCAAACCTAAGGTCTAAACTGCAATGTAGAGGTCCGAAAATCGTAGATGATTCAATCAACCTCGCTTCAACGATCATCTTACAACAATCAA